TTTATCCATCTGTTTCGAGAATATTACTTATACACTACACTGACTACAGTAGTACAGTATACTTAAAGTATTACCGTAATATAAAAACATATTTATATTAAAAATATCAATTTGAAGTTCACAACACTTAACTTGAGCTAAAGCTTAAGTTTTAAGTTTTGTAATCTTGTTTAAATTGACTTTAGTTTAGATTATAAAAGTGCAACAAATATTCCTTAAGTAAAAATAGAATAAAGAATTGAAGCTTTAATTCCGGATTCTTATAAAATGAAACATGCAAACAAATATCCAATAAATGATTATTATTATTATTAAATTGCAATCACATGACAGAACGCATCGGTGGATGTGATTAAGGTATTGGTGGCCAATAAGAGTGATGCCCAACAGCTGCGAGTCGTGGACCAGGAGTCGGGCCGCAAGTTAGCCGAACAGTATTCGGTGCCCTTCTATGAGTGCAGCTGTAAATCCAATGTCAATATACACGAGATCTTCAATGAGATGACTGAATTGATTTACAAACAATACGAACAAAGAGTAAAACATTGCAAACAACCTGTCATTGCAATTGACTTCATTGACAATTTCATGTCTCCCCTCTAGTCCGAGAAATTTGATTATATCGGCCAACACTTGGAGACCACAATCAACAGCAAAGCCATGGAGGCCAACCAAGACAATTGGATCTCCAATCGCTGTAATAGTTGTCAAACCAATTGATATTTAAAAAGAATTTTAAAATAAATTTTCAAAATATTTATTCATTTGATATTCAATACAATTATAATTCCTTTAAATGTTAATAAAGACAACGAATATTCAAAGATTTCTGTGTTGTTAAGCATTTCGTGTCCTTATGTCAAGAGGAGGCCGAGTGAGGACTAACCCGGAGGCCAACCCAGTTGTCGGCCACCGATCACATGAAGGTGTAAGTGGTATACAGACTGACAGCCATTCTTTCCATTGTTGATCACCACTCGATATCCGTCTTGTAATCCCTGCTCTTTGGCCACTTTGGCCGCAACAAACATCAGGTGTCCCAACAGCTGGTCAAACACACAACCTTGCTCATTATCAAGTTCATCAACATAATTACAAACACCGGTAAAGTGTTAGAATACCTGTTCATCTTCCTCTTGAGCAGTAGATAATCCAGTGATAGGTTTGCGGGGAATCACGAGGAAGTGTGTGGGAGCTGTCAGTCAATTGAATCCAATTATAATTAACTACAAAATCAAAGTCTGTTTTCATTACCCGTCGGAGAGATGTCATTGAAGGCAACGCACTGGCCGTCGAAGACATGTGAAGACAATTCAGTGATAATTAGCACTCATTTTAGTTATAAATTCATAAAAATTAAAATATATATTAAATTAAATGACAATTAATTGATAAATAAATCCTTAAATTGAATGAAAAGTCAATGAAAACAAGCGATGGTTTGAAAAACACGTGTTTTTGTCGATAATTATTGATTCAATGAATTGAATGAGTGATCAATCGGTGGATACCTTTTGGTCTTCATATATGAAGTTCGTTGGGATCTCTTTGCGGACGATTTTGCCGAAAATGGTGTCTTCTGTTGGATGAGCTGTTTGTGAAGCAATCACTTCGTCAGCCATTGTCTCACTTTTGTTATCGTTTTGTGACTTTTTGTGCAGTAATTGAGAGTTTGTGTGAAGACAGCGATCGCTGAGTCGACCACTGATTGGTTTGGTCTTCACAGTCACACAGCTATGATGTCTTGCGATGTCGCTCAGGAAGGTATGGACAGGGAGTCTGGTGTGCAATAAGTGTCGAAATAATGCCATTTATTGCTGATTGACGTCAAGTGTTGTCATTGAAATGATCTGATATTGGATTGCATTGACGAACAGATCTGAAGGCCTTCGAGAGGCGTCTCACGGAAGTGATCGGATGTCTGGAGCCGCAGACCCGCAAGTGGCGTATCCTTCTGCTGGTCATGTCTGCGGCCACACTCATCGGTGGCATGCAGTGGGTGTTGGATCCGATCACATCTCAAGTCTCTTTCGTTCACTCGCTCTTCAATCACATGTTCTTCACATTCAGTTGTCTTATACTAACGGTTCTATTCATCCTCGGAGTGCATCGCAAAGTGGTAACGCCTCAGATAGTGGTCTCCCGATGCAGACAAGTCCTCCAAGACTTCAATATGTCGTGCGATGACTGCGGAAGACTTATTCTGAAGCCACAGTCGCGGCCCTCCACTCACTCTAATCAATGAAACTGATGTCCGATTCCGTGATAATTGTCTATCAATTTAGTCTCAGTTAACAAATGCCTTTGAAGTCAAAAGTGAAACTTTTTTATGCAAAACTTCCTATCAATGAATGCGTCAATTAGTTTACAATTTCATAATGAATTCAATAATGATTTATTAGTTAATAAATTGTAGTACTTTTTGTAATTATCATAATATTTAAATTTCATGTAAATCTACAATATTTAGGCACAAAGAATAAGAGAATTCATTACAATGCTATACATTAGGCTTACATTCAAATCCAAACCAAATTCCTATATGTCTTTCAATATTACAATGAATTCTATTAAATATTTTTAAGTCATTTAACAATTTGTCATTTAATTTAATACATTTAGATTTGATTCATTATATATTTAAATTAAATATATTTCGGCATAATTTGTCCACAAATAGGGAATGTGTGTCGAAATGCAAATCAATTGAAGAATTTGAACTAAATTGTGGAATATATGGAGAAATTGTGCCGAAAGTAACAGTAATCTCAATAAAACTTCGATTCCTTTGATAACATTCATAGAAAAGATAGACTAAAAAGTATTCGTTAATCACTTGAAACAATAATTCCGATTGATTCCGATATACAGTATAAATATATTTGAATTAATTAATAAATTAGTATTAAATTAGAAGTGAAAAATAATTCGTTAATAAAAGAGTAAATTGAAAGTTCAGTGAATTAATTAATTTATAAATAAATAAATAAAATAATTGCAAAAAAGCTCAACGAATGTAATATACGGCAAATCTAATTAAACTTTGAATGTGTTGTGAAGTGTAACGGAATTCTATATCTTCTTGAGGACAGTCGCCAAACCCTTTTTGACTAAAACAGATGGAAGTCCAAACCAAATTCCTATATGTCTTTCAATATTACAATGAATTCTATTAAATATTTTTAAGTCATTTAACAATTTGTCATTTAATTTAATACATTTAGATTTGATTCATTATATATTTAAATTAAATAATTTCGGCATAATTTGTCCACAAATAGGGAATGTGTGTCGAAATGCAAATCAATTGAAGAATTTGAACTCAATTGTGGAATATATGGAGAAATTGTGCCGAAATGTAACAGTAATCTCAATAAAACTTCGATTCCTTTGATAACATTCATAGAAAAGATAGACTAAAAAGTATTCGTTAATCACTTGAAACAATAATTCCGATTGATTCCGATATACAGTATAAATATAGTTAAATTAATTAATAAATTAGTATTAAATTAGAAGTGAACAATAATTCGTTAATAAAAGAGTAAATTGAAAGTTCAGTGAATTAATTAATTTATAAATAAATAAATAAAATAATTGCAAAAAAAAGCTCAACGAATGTAATATACGGCAAATCTAATTAAACTTTGAATGTGTTGTGAAGTGTAACGGAATTCTATATCTTCTTGAGGACAGTCGCCAAACCCTTTTTGACTAAAACAGATGGAAGTGCTATACTCTGGAGTTTGACATCCGTTGGAATGTATGGTATTGTGAAGGCAAACGCGTATTTCGTATCCATTAATAGTGTGGTATTTGTGCCTATAATTAGAAATCATTAAATACAGTATTAAATATCAAATCAATTAATGGTTCAATGAATTAATGAGTCAAACCCTCGGTCTTTCTCTGCTCTGCCAAATGTTTTTGAACTTTTTTGATGAAATTACTGGAAATCCTCTCCTCATCGCCGGCGGTGTAAAGGTTCAGGATTTTGATGATTTGTGACGAACTGTGCGGTCAAAGAACGATACATTTAATCAACTCTTATATGACAACAAACTAAAGACAATCCATGAATACCTGAGTTTATTACACATCTCAACGATGGTAGGGATGTGTTCCTCAGTCTTGCGGGTCTGCAGGAGTTTCGTGGCCTGAATGATGGGCTCTAACTTCTCGACGCATTCGTTCCACTTTGGGATCTGTTGTTCGCGACACCACTGCTCTAATGACGATAAATTGAACCGAATTTGCATCGCTTTATTCCAATGGCATAAGTCTTTGCGCAACAATAGGTTATTCAAAGAACTCGAACACATGAAGTAAAACAGCTATCGATCAATGGTTTGAGACATAATTAGTATCAAAATTTACATTATTGTCACAAATGATTAGAACCTGTTTGAAGATCTGATGGATTATATCGCCTTCAATCACATGAAGTAATAGAATTCGATTCAAATACGAGAGCTGTTATCAAACCAAGAATTAGTGTCATTTGGTAGACATAGTGTCAGAAGTAGTGATATTTCGTCAAAAACTCACTTCTTTGATAAGCGCTTCAATTGGTTTCTCTGTTGGAGAGGGAGAGAGGTTTGTATCGTCACTAACACTGCCGGACCTCTGAATCGATGTCTGGGAATACATTCCCGAAGAGGCGAGGCCTTCGTATTCAAGAATCGCCGGAACAATAAGACTTTGGATCCTTTCCTCGCATTGTTTAATAACCCCTAAAATAATCATACATTTAATGAATACTATGACATAAGTGATCAATAGTTGAATGCAAACCCTGATGAATCCAAATGGCGATATCGCTGAACATCTGTCTGTATTCACTTAAATCAAAGTTTTTAAGGGACTCATAAAACTCGCCGAACTGTTCTTCGCCTACATATTCACAAATAGATTTAGCATTAATTTAATTCAATCGGTTAGACGAGTAGTCAAATACCGGAAAACTGTTTCAAACAAGTGATTAATTTGCAAGTGTTTGAAAGCCACAGAATAAATGTCTCGACGTTTGTGTTTCGCTTAATTGTGCGCTTAATCGACAGAATGGTGTTATTCATAAAACTTCGGACCTTTAAGTGAAAGAAATTTATATGAGATTTAGACAAATAATACAGAATTGAGACAAAAATAATGAAATGAAATGATTACCATAACGTCATCGTTATTGTAATCAGTGAAACGAATGCACATAAAGAGAATGTATGCGGGAATGTGGGGCTGGAATTTGAGGGCAACACTCGGCTCCAAATCTGATTAAGGAAGCAATCAATGGTTTTGTTGAATACAATTGTGTAAATCACATGAAAATCAGTTACCATTAATCAGAATTGTGAGAATAAGTGACTCGTTTTGTTGCTTATACTCAAACATTCCCATATAATTCATATTCTGGTAGTCGTTTTGGTTGGGACTCTCCAACTCGTCGTCATCTGAAATGATAAGTCAATTGGAAAATCACTCACAACTAAGACAGACATTAGATGTGAATGAATACCGTTTTCGAGTATCTTTCGTCTCATCAAATCCATTCTCATTTGTTTGTTCTCCAGAACTAATTTCTCGCACTTTTCCTTCAGTACTGTATTCTCTTGTTTGAATCGAGTGATCATATCTCCGCTACCATTCACGGCAATCGGTTCGCTATTAATACCAATTAGTTGTTGTTGTCTATTGTTGTCATTCATTAGTGAACTCATTTCAGTTCTAAACAATAGATCAAATTAGACAATATAAACCACATTTAATACAAATTTTGTTTTTTACTTCATTTGTTGATTCGTTTGTTTGGTTTCTTCGAGTTCACTCTCGAGTTGTTTAATGATTGCTTTAAACGCAGAAATTAATTCACTTTCACCGCTAAAAATCATTCAAACAAAATATTACTTAAACAAATTTCAGACTTATGTTAAAAAGTAAAAATCATGTCAAATGTTATATAAGACAACACAAGTCTATCTCTTTAATAATTTGATAAATAAATAAATTTAATATATTTGCAAATCAAAGCCAAACCTGACGTCTTTAATATTGGATTCTTGTGAGAGAACAATAGTCTTAAGGTTAGTCCTCTCTTCGCGATACCGATCCAATTCGATCTGCATTTGAGCGCATTGTTGGGCCAAAAGGGAGGCTCCCCTGTCGTTGTCCTCGAAGTCGGCCGACGCGGCAATCAATTCCCGCATCTCTTGGTTCTCTTGTTTGCATTTCGCGCACTCCTGCTCTAACTCACTGCACCTCATCATCAGAGACACCGTCGATATGTCTGGACTCCTATCGTCGTCGTCTTCACCTCTGCCTCCGCTCTGGTATTTCTCTTCGAGAGCCATATACTTGCGAAGCAACTGTTGTCTCGAAGCCCTTTCGTTCTCTCGTTCATCGATCAAAGCCTTCTTCTCTTTCTCGTATTTAGTGATCAATAGTTTCTCCTTCTCTTTGACCGCGGCTTCGATCAGTTTGGGATCGTTTTCCTGACGAATCCGAGCGTTATTCGAGAGCAACTCATTTATCTTTGATTTGTGTCTCTCCACGTCTTTCGCGAGTTTTTCGTTCACATTCTTCGAGTCATTCATCTCATCCGCTAACGTCTGGAACTGAATATCTTTTTGTTTCAAATCGTTCTTCAAATTCTTTATCTCGATCTCAAGCCGTGAGAACTGACTCTTATATTCTGAGATCTCGTTTTCATTTTGAATCAAAGCTTTTCGTTGATTATTCATATCATCCACTTTTTGCTGCAATTCAATGATCTTTCGCTCCAAACCTTTGTTCAGATTAGTCACGTGTTCTACACTTCGGGCTTCAATTCGCAGTTTCTTGAGCTGTCGTCGAGCAAGGAATCGACGGATCAAAGACTGGACGATAATCACGCGACGGATTCTCTTCAGGTATGCCTTACGAGCCACATATCCCCTCCAATATCTCTGTATAGTAATGGACGCCAAATGTTCCTTAATCTTCAGGAACTTCCTTCTGGCGATGACTCCGCGTGCGTACTGTTGTAACCCAACAGCAGTTCTCTTTAATGTCAAGAACTTCTGTCTCGCACTCCAAGCCCTCCATTTGGTTTGTATACGAGTGGCAGCTCTGGTACGTCTTAAGTGTAAGTACAGTCTTCTGGCGAGGAATGCTCGGGCATAGCATTGCAATCGCATTATTGTGAACCTAATCTTAATATACCGGCGCCGCACAAGCCATCCGCGGATCATACGTTGCAAAAGAATAGCACATTCTTTGAGTTTCTGACTTCGGATGCGCTCGAGAAGAGCGACCTGACCCGACCTGAAGAAGATCTTGGTTTTGCCGAATTGGAACAACTGCTGCGCCTGTGTTTGCTGTGGAGACTCACCACTCAATGCAGAAAACACTTTCTCCTCTGTAAACACATTAACAATAATATTATAATTAATAACCAAATCATTTAAAGGACTGTCAATAATGCAAACCATAAACAATTTTGACGATATCTTCACAAAGTGTTCGGATTTCATTGGAAGTACTGGAACCGGCTCTCAACAGTTTCCGAGGGGCCGCTTTGGGAACTGGACCTAATGTGACCACAAAAGATACTTAGTTTTAAATTACATTTACTTTAGATGAATATGTTCAGGGAACTATTCATTACCTGATTGTTGGCTCTGAGAGCCACTCTTTGATAACTTTCGGTGCGAACCAATCCGAAGGACACGATATCTGTTTGCAAAGTCAGAATAACTCCAACGCGAGGGAAATCCATTGGAACTAATTCTTATGGTTTCCAATACACCACAAGCTCTCAACTGCTGTACGGCTCGGATGTTATTGAACTCAAAGGCGGCCTTATTATCGTTGGGTTTAATACAGCGGACATAATGTGGTTCCGTAGCGTTCAATATCTTCATCAGTGCGGCCAAAGAGTCTCTGAATTGTGAGCCAACCGTTGCCTTCGCTTGTCTTTGCTGTTTCTGTGACTGTTGTTGCTGTCGTCCATTCAAGTGATTATATACTTATTTAATAACTTCTTTAACGAGAATAACATTGCAATCACTTACAGGAGTTATTTTGATTTTTCCACCAGTTTTTTGAGTCGGTTCTCCCGATGACCCGTCACTGAACAGTGTGTCCACAACTGTTGATCTCTTAAGTAAATCAATTTGTTCGTCCCAAATGGTGTCTCTATTCTTCTCCAGAAAACCTATTCATTCAATAAATTTAAAGTTATTAAAGAATTCCAACAAAAAATCTCTCTTAAAGTTAGACAAACCCTCGACGTTGTAAACAACAGTATCAGCGAAGTGTTGGATAATAAATGAATTTCTGGAACCAAACTTTGGTTTCTGGAAGACATCCCCAATTTTAATCTGCGAGTATAGTTTTGCGCCCCACGTCTCGTCTGTGCCTGATTTGCATTCACATAAACTCTTATTATAACTCAATTCATAAATATAATTTTGATCGCGAAATGAAAACCTTTAGGCATTTTGCACTCTTCGTCCAAAAGACATAATATGCCGATAGGTTTGGCTTCTATTATGTCAATCACCGGCTGATTATCTGTGAAAGTAATGAATTGCCAATCAATGCCTTCGCGGACATACTCTTCTTGTTCCAACTAAACATTCAAATGTCATTCAATTAACATTTAAAATAATAATAACAATTTAAAGAATTTTATTCAATTATTACTTTAAAGACGTGTTGATTAAACTGTTGCTGGAGAACTTCATTTGCATAGTTGATACAAAACTGTTCAAAACTATTTGTTTCAAAATGTTCAAACCCGTAGATGTCAAGGACACCAATGAATGGGTAATTAATTGATAAGTTAGTTGGGCCTAATTGTCATTAAATTGAATAGAGTTTATTTAGTAGTCAAACAAAAATTAATCAAATAACGAGTGATAAAATCATTGCAAACCGAGAGCTTTGTTGATGAGACCGACAATCCATGAAAACATAGTCTCGTAGACAAACTTCAACAGAGCATCCCTTCCGTATTGGGCCAACTCTGCCGTCAAAGTTGTTGTTATGATTTCTCTCATTCCCGTCTTCAGGACTCGATGTGTGAGCCATTGTTTTGTGGCCAACGGATCCAAACCTGATATCAGAGCAAACCATGAGTTTATTTATGCAAATAGATTCGTATGAATCAAACCTAAAAGTTCGCAAAAAGTCTGCAAATGGTCTTCAGAATTATCGGAAAGACAGCACTTCTCGTCATCAATGCGAGTGAACTCAATATTGCCGGCGTGTAGTACGGATGCGATCACATTATAGACCAGATTCTGTTGCTTCTCTGTGAACCCCAAACATTGCATCGCCTCAACAAATCTGTTCATATCGTCATAAGGGGTCGGCTCTATTGAGGCCAAGTATGCAAATTCCGTATTGGAGTCCAACCTAACAATCATTTGAAATTAAATTCAATTATGTGGCCAAATATAACAGAATGACAAATATGACAAATACTTGAGATGCTTGAGACGATTCTGTTGTGCAAAAGTACACATTTGATAAAATATATGGAAATTGCGTTCGCCTTCACTCTGACGCGAAACCCGAGACTTTTCCAACAAATAAGTCCTCATATTTCCACCCGTTATGGCCCGACTCTGACCGTCAAATAATATCTGAATGTATTTCCCTTTAAATAAATTTTCGTTAATCTCCAACAAATCTAAATAAATAGTTCAAAAATACCAAAACGCGATGAGTTATCATTTCTGTTGGTTTTTGCATTTCCGATGGCCTCCATAATTGGATTACTGGCCAATACTCTGTTCTCAATATTGGATGAATCGGTTCCAGCAATGGATGCAAAATATCTCATCGCAAACTTAGCCGAAACAGTTTTGCCTTAAAATTAAATAAGTATTCAATAAACATAATTGTTATCCAAAAGCTGTGATCCAATGAATACCGGCTCCACTCTCGCCGCTGACAATAATGGATTGGTTTCTGTCATCCCTTTCCAGCTTAGTGAAGGCGTCTTCGGCAACCGCATAGATGTGAGGGTCGAGTTGTGCCGCGCCTTGAGATTTATGATACGTCTGAATGGTCTCTTCGCCATAGATCTCGAGATCACAGAATGGATTGATGGCCACCAAAACGATGCCACACCACGTGTAGATCGCCGACTGCTCCAGAAATCGGACCCTTAAGTTGTACAGCACTGTCCGATTGGGGGCACATCACCACACAATTAGTTTATGGCTATAAGTAAGGGAAGTGGAGTTTTGGGGGCAGACCTGCGGGTTCGTGAAGATATGACAAACTCGTCAAATCGTTGGCACCGATCAGGATGTCTGGGTTCCGCAGGGGTGGCAGACATGACAAGTCGTTCACCGGTAATGTTATTTCCTAAGCATTGGTTCAATTCAATGATAAGATAAGCAAATGTGTGGTCAAAGGAGTGATGGCTCACCTGTTCCTCTTCATCCTCCACAACAAGACTTTTTTCTTTTTGATTGAAATTAACTTTAATGACAACACATTGCCAGACATCTGTCGAGTGTTTGATCCATATCTTGGAACCCTTTACCATACAATCAATTAATTGTATTTATTATGATTAAAGCCATAATAAGACATACCTTTGTATACAACTCTGGGAAAAGTGCACTCATTTTCACCGATTATTCCCAACAATTAAATCACAAACAATTGTATCGATTAATAGACAATTTGTCTATAAATTTGTGCCAAAGTTTTGATTGAAAACAAAATACATATTTAAATGCATTTATAAATAAAAAATCTAAAGTAATAACTGATAGGAAACCAAACGTTTAGATATAAAACACTTTTAATACAAATAATGACATCAAAAGACTTTAAAAGGAAATAAACTTTTTTGTGAAACAATTTATTGAAACACTTTTTTGTCGCATAAATTGATTCAATTATAAACTGAGAGTTGATTTCAATATTTTTTTATAAATTATTTTTAGTCTTTTGATAACTTTTTCGCGAATAAATAAAATAAATATTAATTAACTATAAGTGTAGCAAATAATAAATATTAAATAACGATACATATAATTTAATTATAATATTAAATAAAATCAATCAATCATCAAGTGCAATAAATTAAACAGATTTTTTTGTAATAACTATTATTAGCCATGTGATTCAGTGAAATACAAGCATCATCAATGTTGTTGTAGTGAATCAAACATATTTTGTTGAATTAATTAGTCAAATGTTGTGACTTTATGTGTGTTTAATATAATATAATTAAACAAATGATTTATTAATGAATTGTGTGTTTCAAGAGTGCACTCAAACAGTCATACACTGAGTCTCAGACACTCATACACTGCGAGTATGTGTAAGGCAAACTGTAAACAATGAATGAAATACATTTAAAGAGCCATTCATTACTCCTGTGACATACCACTCAATTGCTCCCTATTGTGACATTGCATTTAAAATATGGTTGAAGTGTAGTCCTTCTCCCTCTTCTCATACATTACTGTATATTTGAGTGAGTGTTGGGTTGCAGTGAACCCAATAGATGGCTGCAACATACGATCTGCTGTTGACTCATCGCTGTATGACTCTTGTATTGATCGCAGTGTGCAGTCATACAGTGATTACACCGCTATAGAAATGCCTATCATATCAACTGGTCTATAAATTAGTGAATATTCTGGGAGCTTCACGTTAATTAGCAGTGAAAATATTATGTGAATGACAGACACAACTAAATATAAATTAAATTAATAATCACTTAAAGCATTGTTTGTTAATTATTCATAAGTGACTCACATTTATCTCATTTAATATCTATTTTACATAACATCTCATTGTCTGAAGAATTGCATAAAACTTGAGAATATTGTTTAGGATTAGGTTTAATCTTATAATGACTTTGTATTGTACGGTATATTACATGAAAAATATATGACATTTTATTTATTTATTTGTTTTAATCTCAAACAGAGTTGTTGTGCGAAATAAGACTTTAATTATTTACTTGTCACTCAATTATAGATTAGTTTTGTCACACAATTCACTCTAATTATTGTATAATCTTTATTGATTTAATTGCCAACATAAAGTCATTATAGCTTTATTTGATTTGTGGTGATAATTACAAATTTTATTAAACATTTCTCCAAATGAATTACACAATTGAGTTAATGTCTGATTCAAGCAATCAATACTTACCAAAGAAAATGAAAAATCAATGAGAATTCACTTCCAAAATATCCAGAATTTGTAGAATTCTTGTAGAATTTAGTAGAGTGTGCTTGTTGCAAATGTGGCCAAAGTTATGTTGAGTCCGTTAAATATTTAATGCAAAACTCTATGTACGGTAATTATAGCAGATAATGGGTCACAAGTGG